ACTCTGCTTGTTGTGTCTCTTTTATGCTCAATCCTCTTTAACACACACTGCTGCAGGACAACAAACCAAGAAAGCTGAAAGGGCATCCTTCCAAACCAGGCCTACTGACTCCAGAGCCAATATTCTTTCCTAGCTTCAATTCTGGCCACTAGAATTAAAGAAAATGTGAGCCATGTGAAGGAAAAGAAGCTGTCTGAAATTCATTATGTAAGTTTAATTTCTGTTTCACTGATTGAAACTTCTAGTCTATAGGAAATAGGTGTGGGGCTAACGTAGATAAAGTGACTATTATTCGGATTATTTCGAGACAACAAAAGGAAAAGGTGCCAATCCTTGACAGTTGTTTTAACACATACTGCAATACTAACTATGAAAGTTTTTCAATTAATATATTTTCCATTTGAATAATGAATCACCTGGATTTTTATCTGGGAAATTTTCATAACTTAATTTAAATAAAATTATGAAGAAAATAAGAAAAACTAAGTTTGGTAGAAACAGCACCCCAGCCCTGCAGATACTTCTACCTCTGCAATCAATCATTCTGGACTTTACTAAGACAGTAAGTTTCCTATCTCAAAAACAGAGTTTTAGAAAGCATTATAAAGACTCTTCCTGAGACCATTAATGTGTCAGTAAAACCATTTGACAGTGTTTTTCAGTCGTAAATCTTTGGAATCATAATCCCATGAATGAGTACCTTGTTAAAGACCTCAAGTTTTATATTGCCCATATTTTTTCAATAATTTTTATTACTTTGGCAGGAACTTGATCCCAATGTGAATGTGTTTCACAAGTCTGAACAACATTGCATCATCAGTCATTTGAAAGTAAAGACACTTACATAAGAAGAGGAATAAGTTCTGTATCTTTAATGTGCTCTTATGATACATTTTCATCTCCAACTGCTCATCTCCAGAAATGTATCTTTATAGACAAACATTAAGTTCTTCATAGTTTTCAAGGCTTGATGATTCAACAACTACTATTTGTAATCAAATTAAAGTCATTCATTCACTGAGGAAATTTGCATAGGTACTTATTTTTATTGTTCCACTGACAAATAATTTTTGGCAGCAGACACATACGTAGGAAGACACATACGTAGGAATATACATGTAAAGGGGATTATTGATAAAAGCACAATAACATAATGACCAGGGTTCAAATCACTTTGCCACTTAATAGCTGTGCAAACGTGAGCAAAGTATATAAACTCTGAGCACTTGACTATGCTAATGGTAAGTGACTGATAAATGGTGACTATTATACTATGATTGCTGATAGTACTAGTGTAAAAAGCCTGAGAGCCTTAAACTTCACTAAGAAGGTTTATTGGTAGGTAAAATATTGAAAGTGTAATTTTGAAATAATTTTTTATATATTGTAAAACAAAGCAAATGAGTAAAAATTGTTAGGATCCAAAAGATACTAATATAAAATAAAAAGATATTAAGAAAACTCTAGAATACTACTTTTAATTAAAAATATCAGTATAATTTATTACTAAAAAAGTATTTCTAGCTCTGTCCACTGAAAGCAATGACACCTCAAAGCAAGGAGCACACCAAAAGCCTGAATCTTGGCTTCTAAGCACCATTCCCCCAGGAAAAGGAATCGAAGCTCCATAGAAAATAGGCTAATTTTAGTTCTATGGTCTGAAAATTCTAAGTGAGCCTAAGATATCATCTTCCATCAGAAAGGAAAAAAGCATTGAAAGACTAAAGGAGTCAGGTTATGAGGTCACAGAGATCATGTCACAGGGACTCCTACTGGCCAAACGTGGTGGGTCTGGAGCACCAAAAGAAGAAGAATTGATCGTAACACAGTAAGTCAATAAAAATTCATGTGTCCATAGAATTGAAAATAAAAGGAAAGTAAACCTCCCCAAAAAAGCTTTCCTTTACAGAAGAATGCCACCTAATGAGTAGAAGGAATAATAAAATTAGACTATTACCACTTTGCCACCTCTGATGTAAGTTAATCCAGGCAAGGATCAATGGATGACAACACCGTTAGGTAAACTCACTGGGGAACAGAAATAACCTGCCACTTATCACCCCACAGATACCTTACTTGACTGCAGAAGGAAAAAAAATGTACCTTTTCACTAAAGAGATGAGGAATCAAACTTAGTTCCAGCAACAATGGAAAAATCTAAGATGATTTGTCTCTAATGCAATGCAATAAGAAGTATGTAACTTTACCTTCGAAATAATCTTGCCGAAAAGATTTGACCTGAACCCAATATAGTCTCTAGATACAACTTTAAGCGTACAGGGTGCAGAGAAACAAGTGAAATAACACCTTGAAGGAACAACCAGACCACTGCTCTGGACTCTCCAAGAAGTCAACACTGTTTTTTTTAAACCTATAAAGGCTAAAAATAACCCAAAAATGCAACGAATGAACCTAGACTGGAACCCAATTTGGAAAAGAAAACAACTATAAAAGACATTCTTGTAGCAAATGATGAAATTTGAATATGAATATGAGTATGAGATGGTTATTGATTATTGCTATATTACAAATTACCCCCAAATTTAGTGGCTTAATACAACAAACATCATTATTTCATCACTTCTGTGGGTCAGAAATCTGAGCCTGACTTAGCCGGGTGTTTCTGACTCAAAGTCTCTCGTAAGGTTTTAGTCAAGCTGTTGATCTGGACTACCCTCATCTCAAGATTCAACTGAAGGAGGATTCACTTCCAAGCTCACTCACTTGGTAGCTGATAGACCTTGGTTCCTGGGCTCACAGACTTTGCAACTGGCTGAGTGCCCCCACCACATGACAGCTGGTTTCCCTCAAAAGCAGTGACTCAAGAGAGTGTGTCTAAGATAAAAGCCAAAGTGTTTTCATAACATAATCTCAAAAGTGACATCCCATCACTTCTGACGTATTCTGCTCACTGGAAGTGAGCCGCTTTGTCCAGCCCACAAGGGGAGGGGGATTAAACTTCACCTCTCAAGGGCACAAAGAACCTGTGGGCCTGAAAACCTCCACAGATGATACTGTAGCATTACTGTTGACTTTTAGAAAATGGTATTGTGGTTTAGATAGGATAATGTCCTTCTTCTTAAGATACATATGCTGCAGTAGTCAGAAACAATACACATGAAGTCCACGACATATTTTCAAGTGATTCTGCAAATCCATGTGTGTGCGTGTGTGTGTGTGTGTGTGTGTGTGTGTAAAGTAATGAAGCAAATATAGCAAAATATTAATAAATGCTGCACTGGATGGGTAATAAGTGGGTGTTCACTGTATTCCTTCATCCTTTCTATATGTTCAAAGTTTCTCCTAAGAAACTGTTGGAGAAAAATAATTGAGGATCGCTATGGAGTGAATTGTGTCCCCTTAAAATTCATATGTTAAAGCCCTAACATCCAATGTGATGGTGGTGCCTGGAGATGAGGCCTTTGAGAGGTAATTAGGTTTGGATAAGATCTTGAGGGTGGGGCCCTCACGTTGGGATCTGCGCCCTTGTAAAAGACACCAGAGATCTTGCTCACTCTCCCTGCCATGTGAAGACACGGCAAGAGGGCAGTCATCTGCAAGTCTGGAAGAGGACTCTCACCAGGAAACCTTCATCTTGGACTTCCCAGCCCCCAGAACTCTGAGAAATAACTGTGTGTTGTTTAAGCCACCCAATGTATGGCATTCTGTTACAGCAGCCAGAGCAGACTAAGACAAAGGTTTTGAAATGATTGAACTGACTTGATAACAGAGATAAAATCTTTGCTCCTTTCACAAAGTTAATGTGTCAGAAGAAGAAATCCAGTGGTAAGAAGGGTTTTTTGATACAGGGAATTGGGGGGAAATAAAAATTATTATGATTATTACTGTGAATCATGTTCACATGTCAACTTCCCATCTCACCTCACTTGGCAGTGACATCACTGTAAACTGGAAAGCCAAAGAGGAGTTCCCACAAAGACGGTCCTTTCCACTGCATCCCAGTGATTCCAGAGGCCCCTTCACAGCCTCTGGGACACGACCAAACCTTCACCCCTCACAGAGCCTCTCTTTTTCAGCATTAGTCATTTCCTAATTTCAAACTCCTATGTATTTTATTAACTGATTGCACCAGCTCACTTCTGCTTTGGGAAATCAATCATTGTTATTTCTCCCATAATTACTTTCTTTGCTATAAAAATTTTTAAACATAATTAAAGGGTTATGTAGTATTCTTAAAAATACAGTATTAATTCTCATGCTCAAACAGGTTCTAGCTAATTTTAAAACATCAAGCAATTCATTGTATAAATAAAAGTTCAGAATTGAGTCACTCCCCCTTGGCAATATCTCTCAAAATTACAATACCCATATCTTTGACCCAGCAAGCCTACTTCTAGGATTTCCTCTTGCTGATATATTCTTACATATGAGAAATGATATAAGATTATTCATAGCATCTTTGTGTACAATAGTATGTAGTATCTTAGCATTTTTGAAAGTAAATAAAAAAAGGAACATAAAGTGTGAAGAGCATGTTACCATTTGTGTTAAAAGTGAATAAAAAGAATAAATATATGCCTTTATGTATATAGACTATTTCTAGAATGGTATATAAGAAATTGTTAACAGAAGTTGTCTCTGAAGAGAGCAAGCTGGGTGGCTGGGAGGAAGGCCAGGGGGAGACTTTTCATTATATTCCCCTATGTCCATTTAGAATTTTGTATCTAAATGGATGCATGACTGCTTTGTTCCCGAAGAATTAATTTAAAAAATTTCAATTTACAGTTTAACCAGATAAGACATTATCTACAAACTTTTTACTTTCAAGTGTCTTGTATTTTTCTTTTTTCTAATCAGAAGAAAACTGTATCCAGTGGCCTGGTTAGATCACTGAGTCCCAGGCTGCTCCCCAGCCCTCCTGCTGAAAGGAGCCTTTTGAAACTGTGGTCAATAACACCAGTGTGCTCATCCACACCTGGTTTTCCATTCCTGCTTCATAAACATGGTCAGAGATGCACACACACACTCACGCAGCGTACCTGGTTCAGCTTGCCTTTCTCTTCCAGGCAGGAGGCAGCCTTTTTCTGCCCTCTGTTTACTTCTGAAGCCAGCCTCATGATTGTTTCTCTGCTAGCTTTTGCTTCCATCTCATGGACATTTACAGTCTCTTCAAGAGTTACAATTTGTCCTTTCATGAATGCATTTTCCTTGCCCAGCTCTCCAAGCTGAAGAGAAAGCAATGACAGCTGTCCCATAAAAATTAATAATTTCAGACCACTTTTTCTAAGCAACACCGATCTGTGTGCCCGATGATTCTATTATCACATGGAAACAGTGGAAGCGCTATCTCTCCGTCCACTGAAAAGGTAACATTTTCAAAGGCAGCCTCTAAACTCTGTTGTGATGTGCAGACCGGGTGGTCAAATTAAAATCCATCAAAAGGTAGCTACAAGGCAACAACGGTGAGAGTTCAGCCAAAAGCTTCCAGACAGAACAAGCATCCGCAAGCCCCTGGCTGCTAAATGCTTAACGGAGCCACAGCAGACCAGGAAGGAAGGGAGTCCCAGCCAGCCCCCGTCCACAGGCACCGCAAGGCGTTACCTGGCACGAGGCGGGGGGAGGGGGGATACAGCAAAGAAGGCAGAACTCTCTTTTTTAAAAAGAAAATCCTTCTAATTAAGGTAAGCATAGCAAAATCCTGAATAACATGCTCAAACAATGGTTCTCACTGGGACCAGCAGGGCTTTTCACTCTTCATGTTGTGCATTTGAGTGGTTCACTGGGAGCATTCATAAAAATGTGCAAGATTTATAAGGAGGAAAAATAAAGCCAACCAGGCTGCTCGGCCCAAAGGAACCAGGCATGCAGACAGCAGCTCACTCTCTAAGGCCACAAGGATGCCTGTGGGAGGACCTGAAACTCCACATGGCAGGGTCAGTGTTTGTGTTAGGACCGTCTGGGCAGGTGGCACAACTTTCAGTCTCAGCAATTTGCCAGCATGGTGCCCTGCTCCTGACTCAGGGCTGTTCCCTCCCCCTTGAACGGTTTTCTTCATATCTGCACGCTCACTCTCCAGCATCCTTTAGAAGTCCTCGTCTCAGAGGGGCTCTCCTCAGCCAGTCCACCTAAACTAGCATCCCATGCCTCCAACCTGCTTCACTCTCTTTCCCCACATCTGATTGGTTTTTCCTCACTGCACCTTTTACTACACAGGGTAACACTGGATAGTTATTTGTTTATTTCCTCATCATCTCTATCCACAATAATGAAAGCTCTAGGAGGGCACAGATTTAGGCTTGTCTCATTCACTGCTGCATCCCCAGTACCCAGAACAGTGTCTAGTGCATAGTCATCACTCACTAAATATTTGGGAAACAGATGGAGGAATGTCAAGTAAGTTCTTAGGAAGCGCCTCTTTTCCACCATGTTTCCTTAGAGTGTGTGTGTACATCAGGGCGGTAAAAGTGAGGGAATGGCTGTGAAATTGGAGTGGTTTTTTCCCCTTCTCAGCATATTGCTCAAGGTAACAGCCTTTTTGCTCTTGACCAAGAATTTTTTTTTTAAAGATGGGGATCTAACTCGGTGACTGGGATGCTAAAGCTTTAGGGTCCTGCCATCTGTTTAAAAATATAGTTTATATTATTATTCAGGTATAGTGAGGCCAACAGATCAGGAGAACTGAAAAGACAGTTTGTTAGTCACAGTTCCCAAGAGGAGGGGGCACACCGTGCCACGCAGAGCCATGCAGGGAGCACCAGGGCCGGTCAGGAGACAGAGGGAGCTGGGGGAAAACATGCTCTCCACAGGAAGGAATGGGTGAGGCAGGGTAAGCAAGCTTACGACTGGCTAGTCTGAACAATTTCAGTGGGTTCTGGAGGGTAGGAGCTGTCTCCAGTCGTCTGGCACCTGGCCCTGGGGTGATGGCCCAGAGTGTAAGGGCCTGATAGAAGTGGCTGGGGCGTGGGCTCTGAATTGGTCATCTGCATTTGAAAGCTGTGCACCCAGGAGAGTCATTCACTAGCAACTGGCTCACCCTGGGACCCAGTCTCTCCTGGGTCGGCAAGGCCCCAGACATCAAAGCATTAGAATTAGGGGAAATAAGAAGGCATGGTTAACACAGCATCAACAGCCAGGTTAGCACCTGGAGACTGTTTCTGATGTGGGAAAGGGTCTCTGGACGAAAGAGCTTCTTAATTTCACTTTCTTTTCCCCACCACTTGCCTTTAAAGATAATCCCCCGAACCACAGTGTGAGGTGGACTTCAACAGACAGGCTCCTGGTCACGTGTCAGCAACAGGGAGGACCAGGAGCTGCGTCCAGTGCCTCCAGGGCATCAGGCGGACCCCAGGAGGTCTGGGCAGCCAAAACCCATCAGTGAGCTAACATGGGGTCATTCTGCAGCTTTCGCAGGAGGCTTAACAATGAACCACTGAGGGGCGGCCTCTAAGAATGGCTGCATGGGCCAGATACTCTAAAACTCCTAGAGGAAAACATGGGCAGAACACTCTTTGACACAAATCGCAGTAATATTTTTTTCAATCAGTCTCCTAGAGTAATGGAAATAAAAGCAAAAATAAGCAAAGAGGACCTAATTAAACTTAAAAGCTTTTGCATAGCAAAGGAAACCATCAACAAAATAAAAAGAACCTACAAAATGGGAGAAAATATTTGTAAACCATGCAACTGACAAGGGCTTAATTTCCAAAATATACTAACAGCTCATACAACTTAATATCAAACAAACAATCCAATCAAAAAATGGGCAGAAGCCCTAAATAGACATTTCTCCAAAGAAGACATACAGATGGCCAAAAGGCACATGAAAAGATGCTCAACACTGCTAATTACTAGAGAAACACAAATCAAAACTGCAATGAGGTATCACCTCACGTCGGTCAGAATGTCCATCATTAAAAGGTTTACAAACAATAAATGCTGGAGAAGGTGTGGAGAAAAGGGAACCCTCCTACACTGTTGGTGGGAATGTAAATTGGTGTGGTCACTATGGAGGACAGCGTGGAAGTACCTTAAAAAACTAAAAATACATAAAATGTATGTATAACTGAATCACTTTGCTATACACCTGAAACTAACACAACATTGTAAATCAACTGTATTTCAATTTTAAAAAACTGTAAGACGTTAAAAAAAAAAAAAAAGAATGGCTGCATGGAAATCTGTGGGGAAGCAAGGATACGAAAGGTTTATAAACAAGCAAAGATGCTGGTTCCATCCAAATACCTCCAGGTGCCCTAATGAATCACCACAGGCCAAGTGAATTATTCAATTGATACAATTAATTTCCACCTTAATTTTTTTATGTCTGAAGATATTCATATATTGTTGCAGTGTTGGCTTTTTTTTTATAATGAAAAACTGAAGGATGAAGAGGAAACTGTTTCAGCCAGAGAGGAAGGATGATTGTCTGTAGTACAACCACCTTTAAGGAACTTTACAATCACTAAAAAAAAAAAAGAATGTTCTGAAGAAGATATAACAAATTGAAAGTTATTTATAATATGTTAAAGTTCTTTTTAATTCCCCTCCCACTGCAAATGAGGGTAGGGGAATGAAAAAGCCAGTAACGTTACATGAGAGCTGGATTTCAATTTTTTGGCTTTAGCATAAAGTTAAAAAATACTTTCGAACTAAATCTTAACCTTAGACTCAGTGAGTATCCCAAAAATGACACACAGCTGGTTTTGTTCTTTTGGTGTGTGTGTTTCTGTCTTATAACTAAAACAAAACAAAATTTTCCTAAAACACATCATTAAAATGAATAATTAATTGTATTTGACTAGCTAAATATATTTTAGACAAAGCAATCAATCCCTTCTGGAGAATAATTAATCTCAAATAATGAGAGAGAGAACCTTGGATTTGAGGCTCAGAGAGGTGATATGGTTTTTCCCAGGTCACACAGACAATTAATGCTATGCTAGGGCTCGGCTCCTGTCCTGTTCTGCTACCCCCAGACTCAACCACAGCTCTTTCTTCATGGCACATGTCAGAATGACCACTAAATTTATAGTCTTTTTAATCTGCATGTAAACACCTTTAGAATTAAATCTTCATCTGATGCCTTTTCATTCTTCTTCTCTGGATCTAAGTAGTCACGAAGTTGAGCCAGAAATTCCTCGTGTCTCCTGCAATTCTCCAAGGCTTGATTCTTATTCTTCTCGTTTTCCTTTAAACATTGTCTATCAGGCAAATAACAGATAAGTCAAGTTTTAACACCAAAGAAGATGCCATTCACCCAAGTTCAGAACTCAAGCTCTCTGCTGAGAAATAACGAATCATCGTGTTCAACACAACACAGTTTCCCCAGACACAGAGCACATTATTGTCTGCAAGCCCC